ACACCCGCACTATCTGTGCTATTTTTCTCTCTATTGTTGAACGCAGTGCGGTATTGATGGCTTTAGTCTTTTATTACAAAGATATGTTAGAAAAGGTAACGACGCAAAGAACCCAGCAATTCTCGGCTTTTTCTTNATGTAAGTGGTGTTTCGAAATGTAACCGGACGTGGATGACGACAAAACAGACACTGAAATATGGTACTGTAATTACTGTAAAATCATTGTGACGAATGGCGATGTGAAGTTGATTGATAAAAACAAGATACAGAGGTTGCTAATAGGACTTTCTTTTGGGTGTCCTGTTATGGGAGCTTAAAAACAAAGAAAAAGTCTAAGTCGTAATCTCTGAAAGTGTCTGTGCCCGCTTATGGGAATGTCCGCTTATGAGAATGTAAAAATACAGAGTTTGCAGGGGAGTTGAAATGGGGTTTCAAACAAGGCAGCCGTAAATAGAGCTGACTGCTTACGAGAGTGTCTGTTGAGAGAGCTTTGACTGTATATGAATTCAAAATACTGGTAGAACAAGTTTCTTTAGAAAGTGGCCGTCCACAGGATACCTGGACACCCATCTGGCTAAAAGTCTGGGTATACTGCACTCTCAATAGTTACTATGGCTACTGCCTATCTTGTTGTGTCTGCAAGTGAAAATTTCCACATTGCTTTGATTTCAACTGTCCACCATATCAAAAATTGCAACATACATAAAGTACCATGATTTTGCAATCCATTTTAGGGTGATAGAAAAAATTCCTTGGCTTTGCTAATTTGCTACCATGAGATAGACTCAATTTATAGACAACTGGAAAAGAAGATTTTGGATCACTTGTACTAAAGGCATCTGCGGTCAAGTGTCCATCAATACCCTCAATCGGTACTCGATGGACTTCCTGATCAATACTCGGTCAACACTCGACCAGCAACAGTCGGACGATAGCAGACCGAGCATTAACTGACTCATATGCATCGATCAAAAATTGGTCGACTGTCGACAGACTGTCGACCGAGATGTCAATGGAATGTCAACTGAGTGTCAACTGAGGTGTCAATGGAGTGTAGATTGAGGGTCGAGGGCATCGAACAACACTCAACTGTGGATGCCTTCGGTACACATGATTTGATTTTTTTACCAGTTGCATGGGTTAAATTTCCATCTTGCTTCAAAATTCCATAACAAATTTTCAATTTGAACAAATTGCATTTTAAAAATAATTTCAAACACTTTCAACTTTGCCATCATTTTGGATCGCTGCCATTTGTCTCAGTCCTGTTTCAATTTTTCTTTGACTCAGAGGAGTTTGGATGTAGATTCAGGAACAAAGGCACGACTTCAGCCACAAGTAAACAAGTACAGTTTGAGATCAATTTTTCATGTCTGGTAAAAAATCTACATAAAAATGCCAGAAAGATACATTTGCAAGCAAAACAGATTCAAGATTGGAACACTCTCTATTTTCCTGTTTTGTAAAGAAACTGTGTCCTGATAATTTAAAGCAGACCTCTATATCACATGGGCCCACTGGGCCTTCTCAATCATTAGCATGGTGCACTGCAAAAATGTAGACTTGAAAAATGTTTGTAAAAAAATTGTTTTGCACAAATCATATTTGTTGGATGTTCTTTGGATGATGTGCAGTTTTAATGTTTTAGTACAATTATTCAGGTGATTACCAGAGACAAATAGAGAAGCAACTGAAAAATGTGTGTGAACATGCAGCAAAGCTCAGTCTTGTATAGATCACATGGTCAGTCCGTTTAAATGCACATGCTTGAAGCAAACAAAAATGAAAACACTTCATTCTGATTGCTGTAAATGTTCTGTTGAGGAAAACAAAACAGACTAAACATGTCTAAAATTAAGCCAATGTCTGGCCAGATCAGTCAAGAAAGTTAAACACCATTGTTCAGATTTGTAATATTGAACGTAAATGAACAATTCCAAAACCTTCCCGAGAAAAGGACTCCCCAAAGATTTGGGCCATTTCTTGTGTCTGCCAATGGTCTTCAATCACTTAAAGAGTGCAGTGTGGGTCATGTAGATTCTGTTGCACACAAAAACTTTTGGAACTTTCTCCTCTGTTGATGAAGGTGAGAGCTGATGACATCTCCTTAATTGGTTGAGCCTTGGTTGCTCACGGTAGCTTTCAATACTTGAATTGCTCTTGAGCTCTGTGATGGCCTTGACTATACAAGATTCTGTGTTGGGTGTTGTGGCTCACAATGAATGGCTGGTCTGCTGCCTTTTTCTGTCATCTTTCCAGACAAATTCTCCAGCTGAGTTTATGTTCTTCATATCACAGATTGCTTGTTTTGCAGTTGAAGAAGAGCTGAGGTCTTTAGGCCTCTGGAATAACGCCTTTGAATTTGGATTTAGATGCCTCAAGTAGATCTTTAAGGACTTCAACTGGACAGTCATCTTGAAGTAGCCAGAGGAAATATTTCATCATCTAAGTGATCTTCTGACCCCTTAAGTCCTCCTGAGTGCCTCCAAACCATAAAAGCTCTTGTTTAACTGAAAAAATTCTTCCCCAACTGGTATTTTATTGGCACAGAGCATCAACTTTTTCAGTTAATTTTGGTTTTCTCTGCCCTTTTAACCAAAATAAGGGGTGGTGAATGCATGGTAAATGTGAGATTTTGCAAGAAGGTCAGGGTTGTCAAAATAAGCCAGCAACCGGCGCATTTAACCAGCTATTTCGAAAACTGCACCAGCTACTCCAAATGCTAGTAGGTTAGTCCTGAACCTGATATTGGAGAAATACAATGGAAATAAAATTGTTCAGTTTATAAGTTGTTTGAACCCGAATTGGGTCAGAGGGAATAAAGTGGTAGCTAAAAAAGTGAGTGACACGAATGGAAACTGATTTAAAGAGCCATAAAATGTTCTACACCTCGGCGCATCATTTTTAGAACGAACAAAACACAGAATAAAGTATCTTTACATAGTCTGGTAAAAGGTGACTTTTCGTTCTGTACAAATGGCTCTGATATAAATAGGACTGTAGTGGGTTTTCTTTCAGTTAAGTGTTAATAATGAGAGAAGTAGCATCTACGGCTGTCGGCAGTGTGAAACTGACTGATATCTGCCACAAAAATGCAGAATTACTTCAGTCTATGTCTTCCCTTACTTCAATGGAAATAAATATGCTACTTTGTATTTTCTGATGCAATGTATTTACTGTAATTTTCTATATTTACAAACACACAAAAACAGCTTAGCATGATACAATACAATACATTAATTTAAAGTGAAGTCCCGACAAGATGCTTATCAGATAACGAGCGTTTGTCAAATACATTCGCTTTTCAAAAATGCCTAAAATTCTGAACTTAAGATAAAAATATGAAAGAAACTTGAAAAAAACTTTTTGAAATTAAATTTCATTTAAGATAAAGCCAAGAAATGCATTCAAAAGCGCCAAAATATCGAAATTTCAAAGCCATGGATTCTGCATGTGTGTATGATTGCCAAATTTATCTGTATGTTAGACAAATCATCACCTCTGTTAATTAGTAAAATGCTAATTTTTTGGAGGGGACGCTCTTGATGAAATTTTATTCTCACTGGGTTTTTAAGCTTTAAAAGGAAAATTATTTGATAATAGTAAAATTTATGAAAAAAGTTCAAAAACAAAAAGAATGAAAAGTTCTTTTTTATTACCTTGTTAACCTTTTTTTAAAATACAATTCTTGCTTTATTGCACAAAATACAACTGCTCACTTTACCACGTGATCGCTAGCACCTGCCTGATGGATCTTTATCCACCTTCAGTGGTTGGTTCTGACGGATCAACAATTTTAGATCAGAAAGAAACACAGACTTTATTTTTATTAATCTATCGACTAATTCATCAACTTTACGGCCTCTTTGATGTGGAGCTCGCCGCACAATCTATCCGCTCGCTAGCACCTGCCTGATCGATCTTTATCCTGCTTCAGCGGTTGGTTTGTGCTTGACGATTTACAAACTGGAAAAGTTACCAGATCAGCAACTTCAAGCAGAGCTTTCATGGACTTCCCCCTCTGGAAATTCAGAGCTGAAACCCCTGCCCCCCCCCCCCCCCCCCCCCCCCCCCNGTGTATGTGGTGGTTTTCATGAACACCCAAGTGCTGCATATGAATCAAATTTTTACAAATGATTGTAAAAAGATAGGAAGTTTTTAAAAACAGTAAGAGAATGATAAATGTGAGACTTTGACCGTGTTATGGTATGCACATTTTCTGGAATTACCCATTATGAGACCGAGATTTAAACTGTTCTAACTTTGAGCTCAAAACATTCCAAGATGTGCAGACATCATTTATTAAAAAAAAAAATCAGTACTTCTAGACTTGCTTAACCTTGCAAAAATCAAGAGTGTGAGACAGCTTTGTGAAAAAATTGAGACTGCAAGACACAAATAACCGCTCAAATAAACAAGACTGCGAGACCCATTAAATTTGACCAAATTTTCTGAGACCCGCTAAAATAGTTGGAGATGAAGTACCAGGTCATTTGGAACTCATAAAGCATGGGGATCAGGCATGTCAGCACTACCAAGCTTTCCTTTCTTGTGCAATTTCTTGATGGCTGCATCAGTTAATGAATTTCTGTGAAGTGTGCCATCTATTTTTCCCTCAGTGGCAAGCCGCTTCAGACAGGAATTCAGTGTTTGTTGAACAAGTGGTTATTGCAGATGGCAATGTTGACTGTAGATGCTGATTGACAGCTGCTTGGACTAACAGCAAAGTAGTTTTCTTGCAAAATGGCCATGTCTTTAAGTGTTGTCATAAATAAATAATAGAATTATTTTTGTTGAAACTATTCTGTGTAATAGGGAAATTATTGAAAAGTTTTGTTTCTTCTGATAATATACTCATGTCAAAGGTGGCAAAATTTCCACTGGAATATAAAATGGTTTGCTATGACAAACAGGAAAAATTTCCCATCTAATCTTTGAAAAATTTTACTCTGAACTTAGCCGCATCTTTAGCACTGTTAGGTATGGCATTCTCTTTTATCTTATCGATTTCTTTATCAGAAACATAAAAAAAATCTTGAAGCATGAAGCACCTGCACTATAATCATCTCCCGCTTGATCATTCAAACAAGATATGATGTAATCCTTGACCAATGACAACAACAGAATCTCTATAGTCACCTGAGTAATCATACCAAAACAAGATAATTGAAGAAAAAAAAGATAATTTATAATTTCTGACGGCCAAACCAAACCACATATCAGGGCCCAAAAAAACCTTGAATTCCAGCTTGCCCTTCAGACAAGTAACTCGTAAATTTAGTCTGCCCTGGGTAGGTCTTACTTTACCTTTCTTTTATTTAGTTGGCAGATGACTTGCCTGGGTCCTTGCCCACTGGGCAAGTGAGAATGAAAAGTTACTTGCCTGGCGGGAAAATCAACTTGTCCTGGACAACTGGAACGCACTTTTTTTTGAGCCCTGTTTATGGCTAATAGTGTATTTACCTTGTCAGCAGGGGTGACTGGTTTCATTTCCTCCTGTTGCAAATATTGCAATGTAGACAGTTAGTCTAAAGTAAATCTACATCTGTTCCTTCACATCTATCCAGCTTCTCCTTGGCCTGACAAAACAAATTGTCCAAATACATTAACATCTCAGATCAAGTAACTAATGATAAGATTATATTAACCCTCTGTCATGCATACATGATTTCACAAATTATAAAATTTACATGAAAAACTCTGCATTCTATCCGCAGACAAATCTACGCTTCTTAACAAAAGATCTGAACTTGTAACAAAATGCAGGCACAAGAACAAATTCTATGCAGCCTATCAGAAACAGGATTGCTCCACATCCCCTCCATGAGTCAGTTCAAATTTTGTTTCCACCACCACTAAGGCCACAATCTAATGATCACTTCAAGCATGAAACTTGACCAGGAACTGTAGTTTCTATCTTTAAAATTTGTATTTGTTTTCTCTAATTCAGTACTGATCACCATTTATTTTCACAGTGTACACAGTACACCAGTGCAAGACAATAGGCTGTAATAATGCAGCTATACAGATTAATTTCAAGAACAATGTAGTGAAACCCAGGGATCACAGTAATTTTCAGATGGTAGCCAATCATTTTGATGGGCCAACCTGTCAAAATATTGAAAAAAAAGTTAATTAAAATTACCAACCGCCTATAAACCCCAAAATATCATTTATTCATTCTGACTAGTCCTTGCAAGACTGTTTAAAAAAAGGCTTATTGCAAAGAACAGCTTAAAAATTAACCAAAGATAGTCTTAGCAGGGCTCAGCAGCTCAATGACAAGGTATATACATGCTGTCAGTGGAATTCTTGCTTGGTGTAATTTTCTTAGCCACTGTTATGCTATGTTAATTTTGTGATTGGCACTGTGGCTTTAGTTGGTTCTTAAAAGAAGGCAGTTTTGATCCTGCATTGCTACTCACTAATGTATTGACCTCACTATCACTCAGTCAATACGGCAAGGTCTTGCTTTGGGATTTTCCTGTAAAGACCTCACTCTTGGTTAATAAGTAGTTTTATTATATGGTTGAACTGGTGCACAATGAAATGGAAAATTCTGACTGGTTCCCTAAGCAGTCTGAATTTTGGACTGTTAAAATTAATTTTGGCAAATTGCATTTTCAATTCTTTGCACTTAATAAAAAGATTTTTGTTTAGAAGAAATCTTCTAATCTCCATGTTTGGAGAACACTTACAGGTAAGTGTTCAGAAAGCAAATTATTTGTGAAATGTAAATAAATGCACACATGAGAATGAATCGCGGAGACACATCAACATCCAGAAAAAGATCCATTATGATAAAGACTTTATTACACTAGTTGTTCGGCCTGTGTTGGAGAATATTAGGGCCATTTATACGAGAAAAATAATCCGCGGCTTACACGCCGTGGATTAAATAAGACGTGAACTTGCCGTATAAACGTTACATTTTAACCAGTTCATGGATGCAATAGCCATGCGATAGTTGATGCCTCATCTGCGGTCTCATTCGCAAGAGGAGCACAGGCCAAAACAAGAAATTCCTGGCAATATACAGAAGACAAAGAGTTTCTTGAGATATGTAAAGAACAAAGGGTGATGGATGAACTGGACAGTTGCATAACTTCTGTAGGCATAAGTGAGATGTTTGTCATGAAGCAAGCGGATGAATTTGTTATTCAAACTTTGAAGGTTTTAGTTTGTTCATGTGTCACTTTTGACCAATGAAACAGGGTGGTTGTAAGGCAGGGTTCCACTGTATAGCATTTCATCCCTTGGCCAAGATAATAAACCATTGGCAACCCTTTGTGATTCACTGCAAAAGTTCCTTGCTTGCCGATAAAAGGACCAAGTTGTTTGCAAAGTTTTTGGAACTATTCACGAGAAACCCTGAAGTTTTGCCTGAATTCTTGGTTAAAATGTAAGATGGAGATCCATCTCCTGCACTTTCCGCTCCCACCATTCTTGATCGCCCTCGTCCAGCTTGTCTTGGCTTTTGTTCATATTTTTTCAGAGACTCAAAAAAATTTCATTAGAAGCCGTAGTGCAAAATACGTAAGTGAAGCTTAGTTTTTAATAGAAACCCCAAGAGTAATTGCTTTCTTCACAAAGAAGCCTGCCGTCTCGTTTCATTGCTCCTGGTTGCTCGTTGACTGGACCGCGATTGCTATGACAACGAACATCGAAGCGAGGTATTATTTGTGAATAAGCCGTGAACCGTTTATACGAGCTCTTCGCATCTTGTATAAAGCCTAGTTTTCATATGTCCGGAAACTCCCAGATGATCTGGGATTTTACTGTTTCCCGTCCATCCCAGATTTTGTCGACTAATGAAAACTCGAAATCGTAGATATCCCCAATTGTCTGGGATAAACGGGGCCAAATCTGGAGAATCTGAAGCATTTCTATTTTCATGACACATCCCAGATTTCTGCGATGGTGGGTGATCATTCCTGACAAATGAAAACTCAAATTTGTACCGTCGGGGACGTCGGCATCCATTGGTGATGGATTTCGCTCATTAATAATCCCCTAAATTGCTGGGCTCCAGTCTCCCTATCACAAATAAACATGGCATCTCTCGAAAACATGAGTGATGGCTATCTATAATCGGGAAAATCTGGGACAGACCTCCGGTGAATATCTGATATATCGGCAAAATCTGGGATGGTCAGTAAAAAGTAAAATCCCCGAACGTCTGGGATTTTCCCGACATATAAAAACCCGGCTTAAGCCACGCTTGTATAAATGGTCACGTTCACGTCTTATTTAATCCACGGCTTGTGTAAGCCGCAGATTATTTTTCTCATACAAATGGCCCTATTGGTCTCGTTCTGGGTTTTCTTTTTTTGCAAGTTTATGGACCTTGCCTGTGGCTCGGTCCATAAACCTCCAAAAAAAGGACTGGACCAATATTTCGCCAAATAGACCTCACGCTGCTTGAATAACATGAGGTTATATAAGCCTAAGTTTATACACAAAGGACTACAATGCTTTTACAGAATTTCAAAGCTTCCCTGTACAAAATCAAAAATTATGTAAATTAGTTGTTTACATCAAGATTTTTTTAGCACCTTTTAGCATCTTTTATCACCTTTTGTATTGTCTGAGATGATTTTCAATAGGTTAGAATTTTTTCGTCTTGCTCAGTATAAACTCAAGCAACGACACGGCTCAAATATTTTTCAGTCAAAACAACGGTATACGAACGCGATGAACTTGAATCCAGCGCGGCACTCATTGCGCTTACAAAAGCGCAACACAATTCAATCAAGTCAATGCTTAATTATGCAGTAGCCCGTGGGAAAGCTCCAGTAGCAAAAGAAATTTCGTAAACAGTAGCAAAAAGTGCTTCATCTTACCTTCGGTATGTTATTGAACAAGCTAGAAATTACCAAGCTGTTGTAAGTATGGGGAATTACACGTTCTCCATTTCAGAATTTTACAGACGCTGCAGCCATTTCTCTTGCATCCAAATACAACCAAACAAAGGCATATAGGTTTTAAAGTGCAAGTGATACCACAAATAGCGTCTTCATCGTGCCTTTGGCATCAAAATAAGCATATAATCTCAAAAAACAGCGTACTTCAAGCGCCATCTTTGGACTCTTTTTCGTTTCCAGTTCCCTCGCGTCACGGAAGTGGAAGGCGCGTTTTACGCGGGAACTTAGCAGATCATATTGTTCTCTCAGACCGCGTGTTTTATTTCCCAAGCTTCCGAAAGTAACGACCCTTCTTACTTTTGGGGGGTCGTTACTTTCGAGGGCTCGTTACTTTCGGGGAGCAAAAAACGTATTTAAAGTTGTTACGACTGAGCTCTTTTTGCGAAGTAAAAGGAGGAAATTCGTAGAAACAGTTCTTAAAATATGAGATGCAATTTTTCATATCAGTTTAATTCATGATGTTGCTACCGAATTGGTGAGCTCTGTCTAAAACGAATAGTAAGACAGGACAAGCCCATCAGTAAAGATTGAACTGTTATCAGAGGGGTCCTGTAAAACCTTAAAAAGTCTACGTTAGTCTTCTTTTTAAACAATATCTCAGTGCAATGGTCGAGTTTTCAACTTAAATTTGAAAAAAACGTTCCGATTAAAACGCACCTATTGAAAATGATATCAATTTGAACCAAAGTTTCCTATAGTACGTTCCTGTTACGTGATGAAAATTGTACTGGTTTTGGTTTAACCGTCGGCGCAACATTAACTGATATATCACAAATTGACATTTCACAACTTTTCGTGGCATAAGTGATACCTTCCTTTGTTGCAGAGGCCTAAAATTAGGTTACCCAAAGTAATTTCGCTATCTCCGCTTCGGGGGCGGGGGGCGGGGCGGGGGGGTCACTACTTTTGGAGGGCTTTCTATCTTCGAGGGGTTGCTACTTTCGGGATTTGTTACTATGACGACGGGCCACGATTTTCGGACGTTACTTTCCCGTGTCGCTATTTTCGGGGGGTCGTTACTATTGGAAGTTTACGGTAAATATATTTTCCTTCGCTTGCAAAGGATATACAACAGTAGATTTGGACCAAAACGTTCGCGTTCATTGTTTATTACACTTATTTCATTTTAACGTATCCTTTTCTCCTTCATCAGCCTCCTGAAATTGTGTATTGCGACTCTGTTAACGAAAACTGTCGATCAGCTTTGTGAGGATAGGGCTCAACTTTCCCAAATGAATGTAACATCTACTACTTGTTTTTTTATTGTTGTTACTATCTTAATGTTAGAGGAATTCCTGCTAGGACTCAGGACTACTGCAGACCACTGGTAAAAAATGTACCGATAACTGTCTAGCTGTTTTAATATAATTTTAATTTTATTATGCACAACCCACAAGCTCCCGAGCGTGCTTAGGTTAAGGTTGTCTGTCTGTCTGTCTGTCTGTCTGTCTGTCTGTCTGTCTGTCTGTCTCTTGGACCTTCAAGATTCGAGATTGCGCGTGGTTCAACAATGAGCTATCAGTCTATCGATCTACTCAAAAAAGCATTTGCAACATGACAGAACGCCTTTCTTTCCACTAGTATCGCATGCTCGCACAAATCAAGATTTTGAGACGAAAATGACCTACGTCTTTAGGCTTTTCAGTTTTTTTTTCCGCCTTTCCCTTTTCTCTTGTTATATTTTTGTTATAGTTGTTGACTTTCTACTGGGCTTTCTTCCAGTTCATGGATTCCCGAGAAAGCAGTCTAGTGTATTTGGGGGCAACTTTGTTCCGAGTTTTGTACTCAAATTTCTAAGCGTTTTCATGTATATTTCAGGCTCAATTGACCCAATCAATCTGATCTGGGGCCCGTTTCTCGAAACGCCCGGAGACTTTTCGGGCCCGTAAAGCCATTTTTAGTTCATCTGTATCTAAAAACGGAAAGGTGTATACGCCTGAAACTACTCGTATGAAGAGAACCTCTGTTCATATTTAAGAATATGTGAATAGAACAGCTCAGTAATCATAAGGTTTGAGATTTTGCTATGGCTTTCCGGCTGCGAAAACCTTTCGGGACCTTCTAGAAACGGGCCCCTGGGTATCAATGGAAAGATCTTTTCCTCCTGCAGAACTTGAGTGCAAGTGTTGCCAAATTTGGTCAAAGGTGATGACGTCAGAAGTGGAACAAAGGCCGGCCGGTTACGGCTGGCACAGGCGTCAGTGGGTTAAATTAAACAAGGGAAAAAATGGCCACCTCTTGTGCATTAAAAGCTTTTTATTATAAAATTATATAGAGCATGTATCAGTAATACTTAGTAGATTAATTAGGCCCTTATATTAGAAACAACTGGACATTGTGGAGCTGTTATGTAACATGTTGAAACAAGCAAAGAGAGCCATAGTACGAATAGACTATTTTTGATATATTATAATTGAGTTTGGCAGCAAAGCCCAGCGGATGCAAAACAAAGAAACTTGAATGGGCATGTTTGTTCATTTCTCTTGTTTGCTCTAGGCCTCGCTACCAAGCTGAATTTCAATATATCGAAAGTAGCCTACTGAATGAGATTAACTTGTGTTCTGATTTAAGTCAGCTTCACCTGTAAGCAGGCTCTCTAATGGGGAAATTCATTTGCTGAAGGGTGAAACGAACTGTCCATGGATAAATCAAGCAAAGGGAAAACTGGAAAGAGAAACTTGGTGTCACTGTTTTTACCACGCTCCTTGCTAGAGTACCTCTTCACAAGCTGAAGCCAACATGAAATTATGTGAATTTTTCACAGAAAAAAAAGTCCTTATTGGAATTTGACTGTGATTTTGAGAATTAGAGAATACCAAATCCATTCTTGGGTTAATTTGAGCCTAATCCATGATTTTGTCTGTGCAAAATAATGCATGTAAATTAAACTATCTGTTAAATAGGCTGTTTCTGAGAGCTACAAAGACCATCTTTTGGGGGAGTCTCTCCACATTATGATTTAGAGCTGGAAATATTGAGTTTAAGTAAAAATGCTGAGTTACTATTTGTAGCCTCAATAGCACTCTGGTTAGCCTAATTTTAAAAAATCTTATTTTTTCCAGGGGAAGTTTTAGCCCACTAAAATATTATTAATAACAATTCAGATTAATGAGTAGCCTCTTCCAGGCGTTCAGAAACTTCCTCTCGCCGCGCTTTTTTTATTTTTTCACACGCTGTTTTTTGCGCAATGTCCCAACTAACTAACTGAATGCCTGGAAGAGGCTAATTAATGAATTGCATTTGCTGTCAGAGGCAGTCTCCTAAAAAGTCCACCACCTCAGAGAGTTCTCTTTTCTTGGCCTCATGATGTGCCCATCTTTCCTCAGCAAGCTTTGGTGTCACTTTCCACCGTTCATGATAAATAACTTGTTTACATGCCGGACATTTCTTCCCTCCTGTGAAATACCAAAATAAATTTTATGAACAATTATTTTCTTTCTAAATCTTTCTTATTTAAAAACTTAATAATACTCCTGGATTAGCTTTATTGTGCTATGAAAAAGATTTCCAAATAGCAAAACCAACATTTAGGTCTACTTTTGGTTTATCAAAACCACTAAAACCCAGACACATTGACTCTTAATGTCATACCTTGAAAAGGAGGAGTTTTCATGTACTTGTCCAGGCAGCCATAATGAAAAAGATGATTACAGTAAACACGTTCAACAAACTGATGGTCCGTGGGATCTGTAACAGCTTCCTAGAGATTAAACAACACAGGCACATGGTAAGTCTTTTAGCTGGCAGAATAAACTATATGCTTATGTTAGGTATATTTCTTGTTGAACAGGAAGGAAGGCCCCACTTGGAGAATATCAGGGCTTAAGGACATTCACACAGATTGTTTGTGCACATCCTTGCTGCATAAGCAATCCACATGCCATGTTATAAATGAGCATGCAATTGCATGCTAAATGTATGATAATACTGCTAGTGGCCACTGCTTTATAACTTGAGTAGCATGGATTTAATGATCTTGGATGTTCACTGATCCTCATTTTTGGTTTGATACAAAAATGTAAATCACTTCCTTTACCTTTTGTTTCATTTTGCAAAAAAATGAAAAAAGGCAACATACTGGAAGTTCAAAATTTGTGCTTCACACACACCATTGAATTCCACTCTTCCATTGAAACTGTCAACTCATGAGCTCGTCATTTAGCTGCAATTGCCAGTTTTAAATCATTGCTTCTTTGAAGGTAAAGTTACATGGAAAGGATGACAACATTTGGAATTATGAGACCCACTTATACTTGCTACTTTGGCTCATCTTCATTACTTCTAACTAAAAACGATGGAGGTATTAATGCTGAGTTACCTAATGTGTCAAATTTGCAAATCAGGGTATTTTTTCACATGCCTTATCTCTGAAATGAAGTCAATGATCCCCATATTCTTTGCATTTTCTGACACTAGTAACCTGTTATTGAATTGCAGTCTAAATTTGAAAAAATTCAATCTTTATAATATTAGAAGATTTTTACATGAACACCTTAAGGTCTTAACAGAGTGGATCTTGCACACTGAAATCCATGACCATGCCTGACTAATATGATATCTTTTTTGTACTGACAAACATCTGATTAAAAGAGCTATATAAATTGTCCTGTCCAACAAAGCAATCTAATAGGAAAATTTATGTTTTCTGTACATCAGTCTTAGTCAAAAGATAATTTATTATTGCAGATTACCTGTGGTTCCTCAGGCAGGGCTTTTCCTTGACATACTGGACACATCTCCTGTGGACATGGTCTGGCACACTGACTAACTAGGAAATCACACACCAACTTCAGAGATGGCTTGGGTTCAAATGGTGGATCTCTGGCAAAGACAAACTTAGATCATGTTAAAAACACTTTCACAAGGCTGTCGTTAAGTTTAGAGTCACCTGGAGTGGACCAAAAATTGTGAAGGTTCCTTTACCTACTGTCAACTAGAATTACAATCCTGGAAATAAAGAATGAACTGACAATAGGCCACTTTCGATATATTAAAATTCTGCTTGATAATGAGGCTTAGACGACACAAACAAAAGAAATGAATAAGCATGGCCATTCAATTTCCTTTGTTTGTGTCCTCTAAGCCTCACTGACAAGCTGAATTTTAATATATCGAAAGTGGTCTATTCCCATATGCCATAAGTGCAACTCCTATGTCAAGTATTAGTAAGATGACATCGGCCCTTTCTGTGGCAAGTGCATGCAGGCTTTGAAATCTACCTTAATTAACCAATCAGTTCAATAGACTTGAATTACTTTCTACTGTTGTCTTGGTTTCATGTGTGTGAATAATATTTTATGGGTCTGTCTAAGGGCCAATTTACACGGTATGACTTTGTCGCATGCCACAAGCTTACGTCAGGTCTACAACATGAATTGTTTCTTGTAGATCAAACATACAACTTCCTTACGATTCTTGTGTACATCAAAAAAAAAAAATGTCGCAGAATTTTAAAACATGTTCTAAAACACTGCGACAATCATAGCCAAAATCAATAGAAATGACATATTTTGTGACAAATTTGTACTGAGTAGGGGAAGAAGGTGAAGTTTTCTTACATTAAAATGGCAGACGAAATTGTTGTTGACTGATTCACATAAAGTCGTTTCTCAAAAAGTGCTGAACGGATTAAACCAAAAAACATCTCATTATCTAGAAAGTTTTTTTTAAGCGCAGGACAACTAAAATATTTGTTTATCATTTGTTGGACTTTTGCTCTGAAAATCACAGTGCAAACTTTTGCATGTTTAATTTTATAAGTGAAAATGTTGTGCACGTGTAGATGGTCTTAAGTCATGTCGTAGGCCTGTCGTAAGCTTGTGGCATGTGACAAAGTCGTACCATGTAAATCGGCCCTAACAGGCATGCCTTTTTTATTGCAGACTTAGTCTTACATACTTAGGCCTACGTCGTAAGGGTGCCTCAACACATCGTCTTGCAATGTCAACAGCTTGGCCCAAGAATACTTTTACTAAGTTCTCAGGAAAGTTTGACCCCTTCAGATCTATCCTGTGAGAATGCCAAATAACACAATGTTAAAAGTTTGTTATAAGATTCAAAGACTCTAACTTACTATTTGAGGTGTGAGAGTATTGATGAGGGAATGGAAGATAAATATTTTTCATCACCATTTGATTAGGCTCCCACCATCAACAACCAAGACCCATATATTTGCAACCCTGGTCATAATAGTACTGTTAAAACATTGATTGTGTGGACATAGTATCTTAACCCTCCCCACCCCCATTCAATCATGACAGAAAAGTTTACACTGGTGCATCAGAGTGCCCTGTGCATGTTTCTGATGCTAGGGACCTTATGCAATGATGACTGGGATTCTAAGGCCAATGCCTGTAAAACAAAATACATTTATATTGGATCTCACATTTGCTTAGAGCTATTCAGTGTGTGTATATATCAGTATTAAGACTAGCTCAAGCAGTTAAGAGGGGTTCAATTCCAAATTTATTATTGCATTCCACATTTTCCAAAATACTTGGTACTTGGTCATTTTATCTTGTTGTTTTAGAGAGGATGGTGTCATATCTATCGTGCTTTGCACAACGTCCCTGCTAAAAGGGGGAATGGGGTGGAATCACACATTATAAAGTACAGCAGTAGTCAAAGTGTTTCAGCTAAATTTGACTGAGATAATTTGTAGGAAGCAAAGAGAGGTGGTGGGTGGGAGCTGAGAGTCACTATAATTAATGCTGGATTTTTTTATCAGTGTTCCTAGGCTGGTTTCCATATGATCGCAGCAATTATTGCTGCGATCATAAGGAAACCAGCCTTGACCAGATATTTTTCACTTGCTCTAAGCAGGAAAAACACATGTAATTCTAAAACATTATGACAAAGATAATGAAAACATAGGAGAGAAAGTTTAATTTTACTGTCGTCTTTGCAAAAAAGAGAAGTTTGATTTTGTCATCGCAATTCATGATTTCCGCTCCAAGAGGTATGCCATAGAAGAGGTGATTCTTGGCTTTGGCTGTGCATCTATCAAGTTATAGATACACTTGGGACTTTCGAAAGCACTTGAGAAGCAAGTTAGAATTTATGAAATCATGTGCATCTCTCATGCTCTTCGAACTCCCTTGTGCATCTAAATTAAACTTGGTGAATGCATATTATGAGAAACTAATTCTTAAACAGTATTTACTTTGAAGCAAGTAATGTTCATGGCAATTATGATAATTTGCATACCTCACAGCAGCAGTGTGGTAGTCATCTGGAACAGTTATTTTTACATCAAGATAATATCTATAGGAAAATGCCAAGGAAACAAATTTCATTTGGAATGATTGACTTAATTATTAGTTGACTGTTCAGATCCAGGAAATATCTTACCCACCCATGGAAGCGTGTTGGAAATTTCAAATGGGAGGGGTTTTCAAAACAGAAAGTTTTTGAAAGGAAAACTGCAAAGCAAACCTAAAATTCCCAGAGGTGTGGGGAGAGGATCAAACCAAGAAATTCTGTTCTTTCAGGGGAAAGCAGCTGCAATGTAGGGTATTTTGGAAGGAAGGTAAGGTAAAGTCTGCATATGAGCCAAGTGCCCTGTCAGGCCAGAGCTTATCCCAGTTTCTGTAGCATGAAGCAACTAGTAGTATTTGTACTCTCCTCTAGATGGTATGCTAGTCCATTGTAGGGCTAGCCCCAGCATTAAATTTGTGCATACCCATTTATACACCTGGGTGGAGAGAGGCACTGCAAGAGTAAAGAGTCTTGCCCAAGAACATGATGTCGTGTCCCCGGCCAGGGCTTGAACCTGGACCACTTGATCTAGAGACGAAAGTACTAACCACGAGGTCACCTCACCTCCCACTTGGAAGGAGTATGGATATTTTCTAGAGTGAAAAATTGCTTAGTCCAAGGAAAACACTGACAATGATTACTTATCAATGCCTGGTTTTAACTGCAGTATGGAATTATGACTTAAAGCAGGGTACATGATTGTATATATTTGTACAATATTGCACTGCTGTGTCACTTTCAATACTTTGCACATTTACAGAGGAAACAATAGCAAAAAGCTTTTTGGTAAGCATTTTGCTTGCTTGTGTTAGGGTAATGTATTCACAATGAGTATGAGTGCATGAAATGAAGTTTAAAAGCAAAGCTGACTTTGAAATGACTCCATAAGCAGAAAATGGGACTTACTTGTCTTGATTGGCACACATATTGAGAATTCCTGCTTTCTGCTTCACTTTCAATTGATCAGTATCAGCTAATAATTTTGTCTTAATATACTGCAGTTCATCAGAGCATGCAATTAAAGGATTCTCATCAAGAAATCTTCGAACAAACGTCAACATAGGAATGACCTGAAAGAAATACAGAAAAGGACTGAAAAAGACTGACAAAGCCTATGAGATTTTGAAACATTACTTCCAAAGTAACCTTGTTGGGGGTCCTCTTCATTTCTCCACTTCTTGTTTGGCATGCAAATTTAAAAAAAAAACTGCATTCCACTAAATATAAATAGAAAGGGATATATACAAAATTGTTTACTGTATAATATTATTTATACATATGCCAAAAAAGATAGAAGACAAAATCAAATATCATGACAAATGAACATGAAATTTTATGCCTCATATTTTCATGTAAACTGTTCACAGTAATTAAAAAAATCATGTTTTACTTGGAAAAACCAGCCATTTCTCATCTCATGGAGAAAAATAAAGTAACGTATTTACAAATCACAATACCCTTTACCGCTCTCTATTATCATTTGCTCTTCAAATTTATCGGGGGGGAGGGGGGGGGGGGCAAGGGGCGTGATCTTTATTCTTTGTAAATAAAACAAAGTCACATTAGAAGGATGAAATACTCAGCAACCTCATCAGTGGAGGAGAGAGGCAGCTCAGTCGACAGGACAAAATGATGAGAAAGGGGAAAGTGCAGGTGGTAGCCTTGACAACACGTTCTGGAGCAAAGCCATTAAATTTAATTAATATTAAAATATATGCATTAAAATAGAATATTACATCCTTACCGGTAAATATCTACCTACAATGCCTACCTGGGGTTTTCCTAGCAATTTCTTAGCTTCTTGATCACAAAGCTCTGTCATTTTGGCTAGAAGTCTCGGTGGTAAAGTTTTGCTTTTCAGTTCAACAATAATGGCACTCGTGGGATACTTCTCAGAGAACTGAAGCAACACAACAACACTCTTGAATTTCGTTCTCCTAAAGGACAGACAAGGAAGAATTAAGAATCAACAGAGCATATCCAAACAGACATGATTATTCTCTTAAAACTAAAATAAACCAGAAAGTCTTAATTTTCATGATCAACAAGGCACTTACGTGATTCGCACATTTACAGCAACCGGGTGACAAGAAATAATTTCGGTCCCCTCTATTTTTTCACTCAGTGTTTTCTTAACAATCTCTAGTTCGTTTTCAACAGCTTTATGCGTCTCTGGGTCGGAGAACAAAGCCATTTTTAAAAGAAAATTTTCGAAATGCCGGCAGAAAGTTATTGCCACTTCCTCTTTTCTCTAGTTTCCAATCCTTTGCCGCGAAATTTCCATAAGCCCGCGTTCTCACGCAAACACCGCTGACTTTAGAAGTTTGACCATTTTTGAGCAATTTTTTTTTGAGCCACTAAATTTTTTTTCTTTCATGAGACTGCCTTAATTTTATGATTTTGATGGCTGTTGTGGTTGGAAATACTGCACGTAATCTGTTGGGTTTGCAACGTACAATCACTTGTGGTGCGTTGGCTGGGAAATGGCTTCAAAATCAACTCTCCACGTCGGCCAAGTTAAGTCAGACTTCAGAATCATCCGGGGGAAAGAACACGAAAATTTACGAGATGCGTACATACTATGTAAAGCCGAAAGCCTTCGGTAAGGAAATATATTTTATTTTCAACCGACCGTTTGGTTTTCACCACCAAAAATCATCACAGGGCTCAAGGGAATTCGATCTGGGGTTTGTACATGTACCGCCATGGTGAGAAAAAATACAGCCCCCACACCCGTCCGGCCCTCCCCCGCCCCAGCTTGGCAGGACTACCTCCAACAGTTTTGGTTCTGGTCTAAGTTATGATTGCAATCCTGAACATGACCTCTATTTTTGTTCCAGATCGGGCAAAAAAAATCCTTAGCCCATGTCACATACAGTGTTTCACCTAACACTAAGCTGGAGGTTCTGTTAGTGTGTGTGTGTTGGGTGGGGGGAGNGGAGGGGGCATGTATGTGTCTCCCCATCTGAATTTTAAACCTCTTGGAAGGTCTGCACACTACTGTTGCAATTATATTAAACCAATTATGTAATTATGCAATTATATTAACCCTCTTGGAAGGTCTGCACACTACTGTTGCAATTATAACAAGTAAAAGCAGTTAATTCTCATTTTACTGGCCTTCATGTTGCTATTTCAGTGCCATGTTGCATGTTGGAATTTTATCCTATCAGAGTCTCATCAGTGATTACTTGGTCAGTAATCAGAAGAATCATTTTGGTTCCTTTTCTGGTGGGGACTCATCACTGAGAATTGACTGTATAATCACATACCTGTGTTGTAGATGTTTGATGTTTCTGATATGTATTTGCATGGATAAACTATGAGAATTGCTTGAGTGTTTGTACAAACTGTTACTGTAACAGTAACATAAATTATATATGTGACCAGTACCAGGCAAGATAATACTTGTTTAAGGTAAGAGAGCTGACTATTCAGGCTGTTCTGCTTGTTGTTTTAAAAATAATTACCATTTTTGTTTCCCTTTACAGCTGAATTCCTGCAGTTAACAAATGAATATATCCACCTTAAATCAGATGCTAATTCAAAATTGAATGGCTACTGGACAAGTGATATAGGAGGGGTGAATGAGGTCACACACATTTGGGAATATGGTAATTCTTTCTGATAAAAGCAGTTAATGAAGCTTAGTAATAGTAAACCCGTGTTATAAGGTTATGTCTCATTTCACTTTTTATGCCATAATTTTCCCTTCCCTAGGGTGGAAGGGTGGAGGGAAGTGGACTTATTAGTTTAAACTGTCTCCTGTACTTGTCTTGTCCATCTCACTTCCCACATCCATTCTCCCATAGGAATACTTTTCCTTTTTCTCTCACTTCCCATGTTTCCATAAATTTGACTTCCAATCTTTTTTCTTCTACCTCCTGTGACCTTTACCCCAACCCACCCCTTCTCATTGTTCTGCTCCCCCTGTTTTTTCCCTGCCACTTCAGGAAACATAAGCAATCTTGACTAATATTAATTTAGGCCTGATTCCTGGTCAGTCTTTGTATTTCTACAGGTATAACAGAAAATTTACGTTTTTTAGACAGCTATGCAGAGCGAGTGGAGGCAAGGAAAGCTCTTCAACAAGATAAAACATGGATCAACAGTTACATAAAGAAAATGCTAAAAATGTTGGTGAAGCAGGTACACCTTCCTCTGGGAATTAATAGAAAAAATGTTTTAATTTATTTGTCAAAGTACAAAATAAAGAAAGGTTTTTTCTATTACGTGTCCTATAGCTGTATGTGATCCGAGGTGGAATTATTAGTAATCAGCCTGGGGCATGCATTTCAAACTGTATAATTATGCACTACAGCCCGACTGCATTTTTATTTTTCTTCTTCACAAAAGAAAATTTAAACACGGAAACATTTACAGTGAGTAGCTAAAACAGCCACACAATAATTTTTTTTTGCTAATAGCAATTGAACTTAGTAAACAAACTGGTAATTCAAGATTAGCAACCCAATGATCACTTTGTTTGCTAATGACAGCACGTTTTTTTTACTTGATCAAAAGCTGTTCCTTATGTAAAAAAAACCGTTTAATCTGACCACTGTGTTATAAGACCATTGACCACCATTTGGTGTCCTCAAACTTTATTTTCTTTGAGATTTAACCCATGGGTACAACCACTCAAAATGCCCTCAGAGAATGTGGCAAAAAGCAGATGCTACGACAAATAAAGCATGTCTGCTGTATTCCCTGCAGGGTTCCTGCAGGGCAAGCAAAAGTTCTGGAGGAGTTGTTGGATTCGGTCCCCCATTACTACCTGTGTCAAAACCCATGACACAGGTTAATTAATTACAGTGGTCATTCAGATCAAAACATGGGTACCATAATCTATTGATGGTTACCACTGGTATCGTGATAGAACTACCCTATTGAACTCATCCTAACATGGGATTCAGATTGTATGCAAATTGATTTTTCATAAGCTGGTGCAATGTCTACATTGATATGTTTAATTTTAGGATAATGTGGTGATGACAGCTGTCCCTTGGTTTGATGTCAAGCCTCCACTTACTACAGGAGGTGAGTTATGCCAGGATGTTGACACCATGTCATGTGGACCTTCTGGTAACTGTAAACTGCTTTTTAAATGTTCTGGATTAACTGCTGGAACCAGCTTGCAATGTGTAGTTCCAGAAAATATCCATACCTCCCCTACAGAAGGGATTTTTTAACACCTCCCCACCCCTCTGGAAATTCCAGTTAAGCTTCATACATTTCTTTAAATTTTTTGGTCTTCCAGACCCCCCCTCCCCTCCCCTCAGAAAATTCCAATCCCTTCTGTGGGGGAGTATGGATATTTTCTGGAACTGCACAATAGAGACTAATGCTGGGAATCTTTTCAGTTGCAAATTAATTATTACTTCCTCTGTAAAGGCATCTATTCAAAGCTTGCCTGTTGAATCTTAAGTTTATGAGACTGTGCTATAATTGTGGTTTGTTAGGTGTCCATCACTGATATATATTATACATGAATGAAAGCAGAGAGGAGTCATGTCTCCTTTCTTGCATTCATCTCCTAGAGACATTTAAATTTAAACAAATTTCAAGTGCTCATGTATTTATTTTGCCCATCATTATTTTGAGAGCTATTTGCCTGGCCTCTATCCCATGTTTAATAAAATGCTATGTTTACAAACTTTTTAGGTGTGTATGAGCTACGTATGTACGATATAGTGCTTGGTAAAACAGAACAGTGGGTACACAGGCTTGTCCAAGGTCTTCCAGACCGTTGTAAGCTGTCTGAACCAGTTGGCATCTGGTTCACTGAATTTGGACCAGTGAACACTGGTAAGTTTATACAAATAAAGTGGTATGGTTATGAAAGATTGAAATTTGTGTACAAGACTATGTTTGAGCTGTTTTAATTGATCTTATTTTTAGCCATCATGCTGTGGTCTTACCAAAGTTTAGATGATCGTACTAGGATTCGTAAGGAGGCCCAACAGCTTGAAGAGTGGGTTGAAGCAGGTAAGGCTCAAGTGTTCCGATTCATATTTTGTCTCGTTTTAGGGTGTTTCCTTCTTTTGTTAGTGTGCAAATGCTCCATGCATCATGATATGGTTCAACAGGAATTAAGATAATCCTTTAGATTTACAGGATTCACATTCCTCAATCATCCTAACCCAGGCAAGGCTGCAAAATAAAGGATAGACTGCAAGATCAAGCACATTTGTAAATTTCTTTGTGTGAAATCATGGGAAGAGAAGAATTGTGCATACAAGCAAAAGGATTTACATAAACATCGGATGTGTTAACAGTGACCCTCAGTGCCATTTTCAAATAACCCTTTTATAAACAGCTACATGTCCTCAAACTGAACACCACATAATTTGGGACTTGAGGGTGTCTGGATTTGAGTTTGAAATGACTGAGCAATGTTTTTCTTCTTTTTTCAGTACGCGATTGCCTTCCCTTTGAAACAAAAGCATATTCCAAGGTTCTAATTCCGACAGAATTCTCACCATGGAAATAAATTCAAGGTGCATCATGCTCAAGTTTTTTGCAAGTTAATTGAGAGCCTTGCACTTAGCACTCGCATGGTGTTTAATTTATTTTGGAAGGTACAATGTGTAGAATTTGAGTCATAATGTTTAGTTATTTGTTACATTATAACCTTCATAAAACAAAAAAAAAATGTCAAAAAGCAGTTTACAGTTTAAGCTATTTGATTAGGTTATTCCCATCTGCGATCTTAGAAGTCACTCAGAGAAATCCACCAGTGATCTCACAAGCAGCCTAGTTCCTACATGGCTTTCTCCCAGGCCTCCATGGTCAATTGATCATGGTGACGTATGCAAGACAAACAGCCTTTTGTTACTAAGCCCCTTCTGAAAAACTCTCTAACCTAAAATTAATATTTGTCCTTCATTGGTCTATATTTTAGGCACTACCCGGAGCATAGTGTGCCAGTCACATCAACTGGTGGACCAGTGAAGGTGTATACACTTATGACAAAACAGGTTCTCAGTCAGGAAATTATAAAGAGGAAGGCGGTTGATTCAAAGCAAAATCTTCTGTTGGATCTGTTACATTTTACCTGGGAATCCAATAAATTGTAATTCAAAACTGTTTCCATTATTCCTTCAGGCTCAATAATGTAATGCTGAGACATTAACTGATGTATAATAATTATGCTCCCTCATCATAGGCCTGCAGTGCGTGCAGAGAGCTAGATAATAAAGCTCTGAGGGAGATAATTATGCTCCCTCATCATAGGCCTGCAGTGCGTGCAGAAAGCTAAATAATAAAGCTCTGAGGGAGATCTTTGGTTTGGTTTCAATTTGCTTTGCAAACGAAATTAGCTATTGACTATTGTGTATTAGGATAATTATAATGTATAACATTATGTTTGAAGACAAAATAGAGAATTGAATGTGTTATCTTCTCAAGAGTGTAAAGGGGTAAATGTTAAGTGGGGATGAGCAACTTTACTTACAATAAATAAAGTAAATAAATTTACAATATTATTTTAGAGAGGAAGCCACATCAGCTTTAGCTTGCTTTTATGCAGGTCCTCTATCCTGGTTGAATTGGAATTTGGAAATGTTGGTTTTTGTGGAGGGAGGAAAACTGGAGAACCTGGAGAAAAACCCTCAGAGCAAGGCAGGAGACTGAGAACCAACAACAAATACAACCCACATTTGACACCGGGTCAGAATCAAACCTGGGCCACATTGGTGGGAGGCAAGCACTCTCATCACTGTGCCATCCCTGCACCATTAACTTATCCCATTTAAAAAAGGGAAAGTTACACACCTATCTAGGCTGTTACCAAAGTTATGCAATTAAACTCTGCTCTTCCCCATTATGGTTCTGTACCAACATTTCGTTTTCACCAAAGCTGCAGGTATTAAGTAACTCAAACAAATGACACATATGGCAGATTAGAAGAAACTTTATTGTAATCAGAACTGGATCATTTGTCCCTAGGAAAAGAATAAAAAAAATCTCAAGTTAGGAAACAGAAGGCACAAACAGTGTTGTCAACTTCTGAAGTAGTAATAGTACTGAACACACAAGTCTAAATTCTCTATTCTAGTCCATGCACTTTGTGATAAAACCAAGAACATTCCTCTGTTAAGCCCTCAATGTTGAGCCAAGCGATAAGAATCTTTATATCAAGAATCAGGCAATGTTGTTTTCGTGTGTGTCAAGGTTCTTACACCAGAAGTCAGCGAGTAGAATTAAATATATTATCACGCAAACTACAAGTATCAACAGCCCAGCAGTATGCAATTTAACAAATGGACTCCAAACAAAGTGACTCATAATTTCATGTAGAGTTCAAGATATCAAAAAAAGTTGGAAATGTTAGTGCATAAAGCTCAGAAGTCTGGTGGCCACTATAAAATTGTTAACATATCGTATAAAATTGTGAAGTTGCACTTTGTGTCTTCCCCGACATTGTTACAAGCCATAATTCTGAAATTGAACCAGGTGGACACACTGAAATGTTTCATACAATGTCACAATATGTATCACTTTGGCAAGCATAGCACTAAATGTTGTCTAAAGTAACGAAGATGAGCTTTCTATTCTTAGTTGAGTGACTTCTGACTCAAGCAAAGATTATTATTGATCTCAGATGTCTGTTGAAATGGCCTTTTTTCAGGGCATTCCATGCACCACTGGTTTCAGTCCCAGATTAAAAAAAGTGATCACACGGTGACAAACATCTCTTGGTTACAGTGTGCAGCACAGCTGTTACAAATTACTCAAAAGGACGCATGTTCAAGCAAATCTTATCCATGTGATGGATTTTCCAACTGTCAAAATCTTCTCTGTGACATATCTTGAATTGTATCTTGTTAGAACGTGCGAAACTCAACAAACTTGCAAACCAACTGTGAAGCACCTTCCCCAACAGTAGGATTTCACTCATCACACAATCATGACATTTGTCATCATGTGACCATTTTTTTTTAATCTGTGAATGAAACCAAAGGTGCGTGCAATGGCCTGAAAAAGAAGTTACTTCAACAGACATCTGGGATCCAGATACATTTTGTACTACTACTCTTCTAGTTAATTTCCAAATATTACACAAGTACATGTATGTGTATATTGTGTTACCTTTCTCTTCTTGTCTCCACCCAGCTCAAAGTGCTTGCACCTTTTCAGGGCTACTTGTTTCCTGTACTTACACTCAGTGCATTCCATACGGAGAACAATTTTCTTGGTTGTTTTAGCCTAAAGATTAAAAATGTGAATTTGAGCAAAACCAGGCATGCTGTATCGAAATGAAAAAAGACCCAAGGAATGTAAAGGATCTTGTTAACCCTGTATTCTAGTGACTATTGCAGAGCATTTTTTATCTGAGCAGCAAGGATAAAACCAAAATAACAGGTAAGCATTGTACCTCTTGGATACATTCCTCTAGATAAATACGAAATGCATAAAACAAACAAATAAATCTGAAAGTTGAGAATCTCCTGGGTCATCTCAGTCTCCATTACAATAGCTCGTTGTGTTAACAACACAAGTTTAATGTGTCTCAAATTTACTTTAAGGCACTTTATGCTAGACGCATTATTTATCTCCCTAGGTAAATATGGCCATTAATAATTGCGAATCACAACAAACACAAACAGCGGTAAATCAAAGAGAACACACGAAACCTGTGCTAGGCACAGTGAGATACTGTATTTACTTGATGAAGCACTAACTGATTAAAAGGTGTCGGGTATATCAGTCGACACATCAATCGATATATCGGACAACATATCGAGTGATATATCGGTCAGCCAACTCTGTTTCAATGGACAGCCATATCAGCAGAATATCCGATGTTCTTATAGGGTGCCTTGGTCAATATATCGGTCGATCTGTCACTGGTTACTTGAGCGGGTGTTGATCAACTAATGACCGACATATTGTTGGTTGAGGGTTGATCAAGTAGCATTAATACGTCACTGCCATATCGGTAATATGTCGGTGAATGTTTACTGATTGACGGTGGATAGTGTATATCAGTGGGCTGGCGGTTGACCCTTGCTCAACTATTAACCGATACAGGACTGACAGTTGACCGATAATTGACGGATAGTTGACTGATAAGCTACCGATGATATCACAGCCCATACATCGGCCGACATCAGGGGACGTATACCGGTGGGCTATCAATTGACTCTTGGTCGCTGGCCAACCGATGTATCAGTCGATTTTCTGACATATCGACCGACACATCGGTCAATACAACAATTGAGGCTCCCCATAAGATACATGATCCACCAAAACAGTACAAAATAAAAAAGCATGGTGCAGTTACAGGTACAGAATGTACACCAAAGTTGGTTTTGCATGTGACTGGTAGCATAAGTAATGTGAGTATGGGTACAACTACACATAGGCTACTGACACTGTAATTAACTAGCGATCATTATACTATACTATCCTACCATTTACTTCAAATTGACTCGGTTTTCTTGAGGAGAAGGAGGAGGAGTTGAAGAGAGAGAAACTGGCCTTGGGTATACTAGTTGGATATTCTTCCAACTAGTTTGACATAACGTAAATATTTGCAGAAGTGTTGATGAAGCTGCTGTTTTCAGCTAACAAGTATAACGCTCATTATAAGAAAGCAGTTCTTATCTTTACCTTCTTGTGGAAAATGGGTTTTGTTTGACCACCATATCCCGACTGTTTACGATCGTAGCGACGTTTTCCTAAAGGAAACGTATGAGTAGTCAGAAAAAAGGAATAAACCTAAGCTATGCTAAGCTTACTGAAACATCTGTAGTTTCTTAGTGCATAAGCTTAAATGTTTGACCAAAATTAAACCTTTCGATAACACAGAAAGCAACTGTACAAATACAAATGATGTAGTGAGATGTGCTAAGACTAATCCACATTTCCACTACAACTCAAAACTCTTACCCTGGGCGTACAGACTGGCTTTACCCGTCTTGTACTGAGTCACCTTGTGTAAAGTGTGTCTTCGACATTTTTTGGCCTTGCAAAAAGTGCGGCGCTGTTTTGGTACGTTCACCTACAAGAAATAGCCAGAAATAGCGACTAAGTCAAACTAAACACAATAAAGAGCTACTGTACCTGCTAAAAAGATAATTAAACAACTGATGGCAAAGGATTGAAGCGGATTGAAGATAAAAATCACTATTTCTCTTACCATTTTGCTCGCGCGATGGACAGAAAGAGGACTGATTAAGGCCCAGCTTTCCCAATATTGCAACAACACGGTTACTCCATCTCGAGGCAATCGTACCCAGTTCTCCGGGATAGATGAACCGAGTCGACAAAGCAGCTTCTACACGAAAAGAATCTTCTAAAACGTTTTTAAATAAACTGTGTCTGGTGACCCGACCGTGACATCTAGAATGGTATCGTCAAAGATTCATATAGCTGAATCACACAAGAACAAATTCAATATGAAAATATTCCATAAAAGATATGGAATCAGATCTAGATCAACTTTCCACTTAGTGCTGATGTTTTAAAAAGCCTCAAAACCGTGATGTACGGAGTGAAAGCCTTGCTGCTATTGGTAATCGCATTCATGAGCTATTTTGTAATGCCACTGGACTGTCTTTTTGGCTTGATAAATTTAGCCAGATTGACCGGGATCACCGTTAATTTCTCCCCGCCCCACAATACATCGTAGTAAACACAATTTATAAGAGTCAACATTAATTAAAAGATATCGGTTCATCAGTGGAAAAATCACTCTGTACAACTATAACAACCTATTTTCAGTATCTCATTGACCTCAATTTCAGCAGTTTCCTGAAGCAACTTATGATGATTTGCTTCATCACTGTTACGAGTCTTATGACCAAACAAGAATATTATGGAATGCCCTGCCAACATAGTAAATGAAAACTTAGCCTGGAATTCCCGTGATAAACTTCAAATGACTGCACATAGCTGTACTATCCGAAATTAGTAAAGATCAACAGGCGCTCTATCACGAATGCCCCTGTCTTGTTGACTACGCTCCTCTACTTATATTCTGCTGTATATAGTAAGGAGTGTGCCTTCTCGGGAGTAACAAAATGGCGGCCGCTTCTTTGCGTTTTCAAAGTCAGGGCCGTAGCCAGAAAAATATTATGACTGAGGCAATGTTCACGGTAAAATTCTCTTTTTCGGTATTTAGGGTGTTTGATGCCCATAAACAACAAAAACGGAACAAATGACTGAGATAAGTGCCTTGGTTTGCCTGAAATTAGCTACGCCTGTGAAGAGGATTTAGATAATTTAGGAGAACGATTATTCCCTCTCAATTCCTATGCATAATAGAAACTCGAGCTCATAATCTCTTAGAAGGTAGGAATTCACGACGTAGTCACAATGTGACAGGGAGACCTATAGTATACACATTGAATATAAGGCGGTGGGGACAAAGGCAGGCACGAGTCGGTTTGTAATTAAGTGCTGTCGCATGTACGTTAGCAGTACAGTAAGATTATACCAAACTTTCTTTTCTTTTTTTCTTAATACGACACGTCTGCATTACAATACTTTAATTTATATAACAAAAAAATTAATAATTATTACCACTACTAATTACATTTTTACAAACACATTCTGCATAAAGGCAATTTCAGTAACAAATAATACATTCTAATATGAAGTTAGCATACCAGAGTCGACTAGAGCCGGACACTATAAGAAATAAAAAGAACGTTCAGTGATCACTACTTTGGGCACGAGACTATGGAATACTGCACTTAAGATCAAGAGCAGATCTTCTCTTTGAATCCACAGGAAGGATAAAAAGGTTAGTGAAAAAAAAATGAGAATGTTAAAGTTTCTTGAAGTTGACGGAAACAACTACCAGATACACGAGTTCGTTTACAACGGTCCTTTGCGAGGGTCGCTTAGTAATGAAACGCTTGATAAGGTATGGTAGTTTGAAATGGCGAGCAGTGAAGTTATACCCTTACTTTAATTTAATGTTTAGCTATCCTACACAAAGTGTGACTAAATTATTTCTATCTTTCTTTGCTCAAATTGAAATTATTCCATGTCATTTCTCCATGTTACAAGAATGAAAAAAACCGCGGAATGTTACGACTTCTACTAAATGCTACTTCGTTCCCATCCCGGTGCTCTCCCAGAATGCTACTCGACTTGATTTCGATGAACTCAGCCGACTACCAATCACATATCAGGTACCATTCTCTAGCTGTGTCATCATGTGGAAATTAAATTGATGTGGTTTTAATACAAAGTACTATTGTCAGTCAGTATTTCCTATATTGGTTCCTCCCAGTCTCAGGAAGTCTTTTTTACAAATTTCCACTCTGACGTGTTTCCGGTCTGATAAATCCAGCGCTGGATATTTTGGATGGCCGTATGTCGACGACGATAGCACTGGAACGGTCACCCTGACTTCCTGGTGAGGAAAGAAAAGATTTGTTGATAATTTGAATCCTGTTATTAACGAGTTTAAACATTCTATGTAAAGGCGAGTTTCCATGCTGTGTGTTCTGTGTGTTCAGTGTTCCATCACCGTGTGTTCTGGTGTCGTGTGTGTTTGCTTGTGTCTGTACCGATATAAACTTTGCAAAAATGGCTACCTGCCGTCTTTCACTCTCCTTATTAAATAGTGTTTCAAATATCTGTAAAAAAAGATAGGGGAGAAGCGCGGCGCACCAAGTCTCTCTCCTTTTTTCGGTCCGTCGTTTTTTCCCGCTGCGCTGAACTAAATCAACGCCTGGAAGAGGCTACTGCCACCTCTAGAGAGTGGTTTCCATATGATCGCGAGGTCTTTCAGTAGCAATCACATAGACGAGGGGACATGGAAACAAGCCTTTTCTTTCTAGCTTTAATTATGGATAGCTATGCATCTCATCTAATGTTGACACTGAAGAATGTGGCAGTACACGACGACACCAGGTCACAGTTGTTCAAAAGGTGTATAACGCTATCTACTAGGTAAATCGCTATTAAAAACGCTATCCACTGGACAGTGATTTATTGAGCAACCCGGGCCAGATTTTTTTAAAAATGTATCAAAAGCGATACAATTTTGGACCAAAACTAATTCGCAATTTATTAATTTCAAGGACGTGTTTTTCCTTTTGTTTAATGCGAGTCTTTTCTAGAGACGAACAATTACAAAACCGAAAACAAACGACAGACACATCATCAAACGTATACTAACTTCACTGTTGACTTTTAGTCCACGTGATTTTGCGTGTTCTCTGTCGTCACGATGGAGTTTTTGATCGTAACCTTCGACAACATGGTTTATTCGGTCGTATGTAGATGGCCGTTGATGCTACAAGAAAAAAAGAACAATAACAAATCTAAGTGCTTAGATACATAAATGTTGCAATAAAAGTGAACTGAAATGGAAAAAACATAGTGACTTATAGTGGGCCCCCCATACAAAACCAAAGTCCGAATACAAATGATAACGTTTTTAGTGAATATTTTCTAGTTTACTCATAATTAACTGTACTGTAAACAATAAATTGTTAAGAGTCTGTTAAGTTTGTCAGCTTACAAAGTTAATGTCTCAAAAGCTAAATTTAAGAAATATTTGAGCGTAATTTTGAAACTCAGGAACAGCCTAACTTCTGGCGTCTTTTTGTCTGTCTAAACGATAATTCAGCAATACGCTAAAAAATTCAAGCCGTAAAAACTCCGCAAGCTTGCAACAAAACGGACTAATGGTTGATGAACTCACAAAAAGCACTTAGCCTACTGTATTACACTAATGTGCCCACAATAGCAAACCGTGATTAAACGACCGTCACGTGAATTACACTTTTCATGCAAAAGTATCGATCAGAACGCGAAATCAAACCATAAAATTTTGTAATAACTAAGCACAACAGGATTCACAAACAAGCAAAGCATAGCTGAAAATTCAAACGTACCATGGTCTTGGCCCGAAAATAGCTGGTGTCTTGAGAAAGATCTAAAGACTTTGGTCTCTCTACTTTCCATGTATCAGCTACACCTTCTCCTCCTGTTGCGACAATATGGTTCTTTCTGATCGCATCTTCGCGCTGAAATATAAAAAGGTAGCCTTGTTAGCGAAACCGCCGGCAAAACAAATCACACGAACAGTGTAATTTGCTGCTTCTTGCATGTGTAATGTTATGTACCTTAAAACATTGAGTCCATTGCCCCACGGTTTCTTGGGGATTATACACTTTAAGGCCATATGAGGACATTTTATATCCGCTGCCGGGATAATCACCCATTTTCAGTTTGATTTTGTAAAAACGAGCTTCGAGCTGGGTTTGCCTTCACAAGATACTGATTGTTTGTGAAACTGCACCAAACGATTTTGTTCAACTAATGAAGAATGAAAGACAGTTGCTAAGCAACGCGTTTTGTATTGGAAAGTACCAACTGCAGGATTAATCAGATTACAGTTAAAATAACTCGAGCGCGATAACATCTCCGCTTAAGAAAGTAATGCCTTTATCATGGTAATTAACATGTAATAAACACTTCATAAAGTATACGCGCTTTGTTTTCAAATGCTTGTTAAGCAGTGGTGAATGAACACTGTTTGTGATGCAGCGATTAAAAATTTTCTTTAAGAAAATTCCAGATTTTGCCTGTATTTGCACGAGACCTTCCAAATGTGATATGTATTGTTTTATAGAGCGGTTTTCAATTGAGTATCATAAACCAAAACCAAACCAATTAATTACCATTCAGACCACTCAGTCAATCTCAAATCATAGTAAAACCAAAACCAAAGTAATCGCCTCATTACTTTCGACACTCAATTGAAAACCGCTTTCAGCTGAAACAGAACAAAACAAGTAAATATCAAAACGACTCTGACGTTCAAAATCGCAAGCGTTGACAATTAACTTCTTACTAACCGAGCGTGACGGCCGTACTATGGAACATTGGCCCGAGGTCGTTGCAGTACGTACCAAGCGCAGCGAAACGACTGAGGGCTAATATTCCCAGTATGACTCGAACAAGCTACAATCTTGGTCAGAATAAAATAAGAAATAAAACCACTGGCGCTAAACGCAAAGCAAACCATTTACCCCATTATTGGAACGGGGGGAGCGGAGGTCTTAATTTTCATTTAAATTGTCCAAGATTGTAGGTTAGTAAGTAGTTTATCAAATGGCACTCAAAAATTTTTTTAAAAAAATACACAGCTTAAGACCGTTTCCATGGAAACAGTCTGTATGGCAAAATCCTGACCAAGAAAGAACCAACCAGAACGCTCTGATTTTTACCCCAAGACTACCTCGTCATATAAAAAGGTCTTCTATTGAAATATCTATTGGAATGCCGCAAAGCTACGTTGGATGCGAGAGCGTAGCGTTGCGTGACCAAGAGAGAGCCAGAAGTGGACTATACGTTGGAATGATACAAATCTTCAACAAACGATTCTCAATTTACAAGGTCCGGCGAGTTGACGGAGAAGTTTGACTTTGGTTCCGATACTGGAAACAAAGTACTAAAATGTTCCAGCCATATGAAGCAAGACAAATCAGTTGATTTATTCAAATTTTAAGAAATACATTTTGTAGAACATGAGCTCAGGTCTAGACTCAATGGCTTTGCAATAGGTCCAAATATAGAGAATAACGAGTTTGATGCTGAAGGTTAAAAGAAATGCAGGTATGGAGGATTTTTTGGCTTTGAACTTATTTCATTATGTTTTAAGGGGAGGGGGTTGAGATACATTCTCTTGTATTTTCTTTGTCACAAGAAAAGGGAAATTTTGCATCAAAATTGCACCTCATTCTAGGAAATTAACACTTCATGAAGTTGACATGAATTAGAAAAATGTCCATTAATTTAAGTTGTGTTAATTTCTTGGAATATGTCAATTTCTGTACCACCAATTTTCTGGTATGCAGATTTAAGGTGGCTCAAAACAGTTTCCAGCAGTTAGATTTTGATGGGTCGTCATAGCTACTCTTTCTTGATGCTACAATCATGGTATCAAAAAGCTGTCCAAGCATTGGTGAACACATTGTTATCATTTTTGTGACACAATGGGTTACCATAGCAACAGTATGACCTGCTAAAAACACCCTTAATTACACCTTTAGGGGCTTATAATTCAAAAATGGCTCAGTGAAAATTTTTTATATTATAAAATTTTAATAAGCATCAGAAGATGCAACTTTTGGCAAAGTTTTAAAAAATATGTACATAGGGTTCAGAGCCACCTTAAAGTTTTGAAAATGTAAGGTGGCTCTGAACCCTGTGTACATAATTTTTTAAAACTATTTAATCTTTATTCTCCAGAACTTAACACAGGAATTTCAAATATTCCATTTCACGTAATTATCTTTAATGGGTAATTATCAAGAGTCTACATGATGACAAAATCCTTGTTGGCTTGATAGCTCAGTTGGTTTAAGTGCTCACCAGCATCGCAGGGCCATGGGGTTTGAATCCCATTCAAGCCTGAAATTTTTTTAAGCTTCATCACAACTACTTAAGTTATGCATGTTACTCTGGTAGTCTTTCTTCTCATGTAATTAATTTCCTTCATCTAACTAATGTCAGCTTCTCATTCATGTTGCCTAATTTCCTTTGTTACGGAAGATTTTACCCCTTCGTTCCTGTTAATTTAAGTCATGTTAATTAAATACATGCTGATTAATGCAAGGGTTAATTTCCTAATAAGGTGTAAAAGCATGGTGTGATGCTTCAGAGAGGGTGGGCGAAAAAAGTTGATTTTTTTTGCATTTTACAATACGTTATGTTGCTTAGTATCTGACCACTTCAGTTTAAATCTGCTTTATCTTCCTTTGCTTGGTCACTGTGGATCTTAAATTTGACCCAGAGACAATAAATTTAATCTGTAAATTATGTGAGGTTAGAAGGGTTTTGTCCCTGGCAGGAACTCCTATATAAAAAGGACAGGGGTGCTTGTTGTACCTTTTAGGGGTTAAAAAAGCAGTTTTGGTACCTCTTAGGGTGTTCAGTCACAAAAGGTTCACAGCGGGAGCTTTCCTGGTACTTTTAAGGGTACAGAGCCGAAGAAAAATTTGACAAGAGATAAAGTGTTGTTTTAGAATTGTTACCTCTTTGGGGTGAAAAAAAATTCAAGCCACTCTGACAAAACAGGATCTTGGTACCTCATAGGGGGTTCTTTTCAAAATTTCTGACAACAAACCCGTCCTTTTTATATGGGAGTTTCCCCCACCTGGGATTTCACCTTTACTCTTGTAGCCATCATATAATTTCATTTTCTGCAAAGCTGTCGCCAAGTTTCTGTACAGTGAGCCCAGTATCCGACCACAATATACACAAATGAGGTATCAATGTAGCTTTCCAAAGCCAACTGATCAGTTTAGCTCCTTTTCAGTGGCAAAGTTGTTTGGCCTTTGATCCAGAAAAAGAAATCAGCTATTAAGAACCCAGCACTGTGATAAAAACTAGAAAAAAAATTCCCTTTGGCTTCCTGTTCTGTGAGTGCAGTCATTTGAAATAAACCCACATAAATTGTTCTTGACAACGAAATCTGTAAAGTTTCTTCCTGCTGCATAGCATGGCGTTAACACAAAGCAACTAGGACTTGAGGATTAATGATACTAGCTCGTGATAAGGCCACTCTCCAATATTTTGTTTTGCCAATATCATTTAACCCTGGTGAAAGTAAAGTGCCTTGTTCAAAATCACAATGCAATGAATTCAAACCAGCGCTTATTACAGTACTAAGATTATGTGGGCTCCAGGTAAACCGGTTTATGAACACAGGCGTATACAGTTACTAAATCTAGTATCTCTGATATTAAAAAGTCCCCAACACTACCCCGGTCATTGAACACGGTGTGCAACAGATCTAAGGTTTGACTCGTGAAATCATGAATCTAATCCATCACCAGCTGTTTCCAATTGTTACTAAACTTGATTCTTTTCAAAATACTAGATAATTAATTATGCCAGCATAAAACTCAGGAAAACTAGAGTGACATAGGGTTTTCTTTCATCAACTACAAATCTCGCAAAAATTTATTTTGACACAAGGGCTGCTAAGTATTGGATACTAATCCCATCAGAGGTGCACACATCACACCTACAGCATACACTCCAACTGATCGTGACACAGGAAAATTCAACAGTTCAATAGTTCACAGGTAAACTAATAAACAACAAAAAAAATAACGCACCTGATACCGTTTCAGCTGGAACTGGTTGTACGTCTGCAAAATGACGATTCAAAGATTATTCGTAAGCGCGCGACATCACTCGTGGTTGGATTTTATCGAATAAAACATTCGTTCTATTTCTTCTTATTTCTCGCAAACAAATATTTTTTGAACTCAGATTTTAGCAAAAACCAACCTTTGACAGAATACCAGGAGGTTTAAGCATATCCAAGGCTTCTTTCACAGATTTTTCACTAGGATAACGTGAGACATTCGATTCACTGGCGGCAGCGGCCATGTTGGTGATAATCCTTCGTTGTATACGGGACGTAACCATAGCAATAGGTCTTTTGTCAAGATTTATTAGGATCTATTGTTCCCGGGAATGAAAAGAATAGTACACAACACACGTCAAGTAAGAACCAAGTTGCATATTTTTACTTCGTCTGGAAGTTGTTCATTCACCAAACTAAGTTAAAAATTAATTTAAGGCTCTGATTGTGGCCAAACCCGAAGTACTGTTCCATTGAATAGGTAAATAGAAAAGAATTAACAATACTGAATAAAATTACAAACAGATAGATAAATAAATGCTATAAAAACATAAATAAATAAATAAATAAATAAATAAGTAAATAAGTAAATAAGTAAATAAATAAATAACTAACTAACTAAATAAATAAATAAGAAAAGTTGAATAAACTTAATGGATAACTTTTAAAACAGATGGATAAGTGATAGCAGAAGCCAAGAGATGCAGAAGCACATAGGCTTCTGGTGATAAAGATAAATTATTAAAAAAACAAATAATGAAGAAAAGCGAATGAAAGCAGGAGTAAATGGCAAAATGACTGGTAACGAGAAACTGTAAATGTCGAGAGAAGACTGGATCACAAGGCGCGAAAGATTGGCGCGAAAATTCAGTAAATATCAAATATGGCGGCGTCGGGAGACGAACTGGAGGATGAAGAATACGAAGCTTTAGCCTATCAGCAGGTCTAGATTTCCCCGATTTGATCGTTCTTGTAGTTCTTGGAGTTTTGAGGATGATTCAAATCCATATCTTTATCTTTCAGCNAGATACATAAATGTTGCAATAAAAGTGAACTGAAATGGAAAAAACATAGTGACTTATAGTGGGCCCCCCATACAAAACCAAAGTCCGAATACAAATGATAACGTTTTTAGTGAATATTTTCTAGTTTACTCATAATTAACTGTACTGTAAACAATAAATTGTTAAGAGTCTGTTAAGTTTGTCAGCTTACAAAGTTAATGTCTCAAAAGCTAAATTTAAGAAATATTTGAGCGTAATTTTGAAACTCAGGAACAGCCTAACTTCTGGCGTCTTTTTGTCTGTCTAAACGATAATTCAGCAATACGCTAAAAAATTCAAGCCGTAAAAACTCCGCAAGCTTGCAACAAAACGGACTAATGGTTGATGAACTCACAAAAAGCACTTAGCCTACTGTATTACACTAATGTGCCCACAATAGCAAACCGTGATTAAACGACCGTCACGTGAATTACACTTTTCATGCAAAAGTATCGATCAGAACGCGAAATCAAACCATAAAATTTTGTAATAACTAAGCACAACAGGATTCACAAACAAGCAAAGCATAGCTGAAAATTCAAACGTACCATGGTCTTGGCCCGAAAATAGCTGGTGTCTTGAGAAAGATCTAAAGACTTTGGTCTCTCTACTTTCCATGTATCAGCTACACCTTCTCCTCCTGTTGCGACAATATGGTTCTTTCTGATCGCATCTTCGCGCTGAAATATAAAAAGGTAGCCTTGTTAGCGAAACCGCCGGCAAAACAAATCACACGAACAGTGTAATTTGCTGCTTCTTGCATGTGTAATGTTATGTACCTTAAAACATTGAGTCCATTGCCCCACGGTTTCTTGGGGATTATACACTTTAAGGCCATATGAGGACATTTTATATCCGCTGCCGGGATAATCACCCATTTTCAGTTTGATTTTGTAAAAACGAGCTTCGAGCTGGGTTTGCCTTCACAAGATACTGATTGTTTGTGAAACTGCACCAAACGATTTTGTTCAACTAATGAAGAATGAAAGACAGTTGCTAAGCAACGCGTTTTGTATTGGAAAGTACCAACTGCAGGATTAATCAGATTACAGTTAAAATAACTCGAGCGCGATAACATCTCCGCTTAAGAAAGTAATGCCTTTATCATGGTAATTAACATGTAATAAACACTTCATAAAGTATACGCGCTTTGTTTTCAAATGCTTGTTAAGCAGTGGTGAATGAACACTGTTTGTGATGCAGCGATTAAAAATTTTCTTTAAGAAAATTCCAGATTTTGCCTGTATTTGCACGAGACCTTCCAAATGTGATATGTATTGTTTTATAGAGCGGTTTTCAATTGAGTATCATAAACCAAAACCAAACCAATTAATTACCATTCAGACCACTCAGTCAATCTCAAATCATAGTAAAACCAAAACCAAAGTAATCGCCTCATTACTTTCGACACTCAATTGAAAACCGCTTTCAGCTGAAACAGAACAAAACAAGTAAATATCAAAACGACTCTGACGTTCAAAATCGCAAGCGTTGACAATTAACTTCTTACTAACCGAGCGTGACGGCCGTACTATGGAACATTGGCCCGAGGTCGTTGCAGTACGTACCAAGCGCAGCGAAACGACTGAGGGCTAATATTCCCAGTATGACTCGAACAAGCTACAATCTTGGTCAGAATAAAATAAGAAATAAAACCACTGGCGCTAAACGCAAAGCACACCATTTCCCCCATTATTGGAACGGGGGGAGCGGAGGTCTTAATTTTCATTTAAATTGTCCAAGATTGTAGGTTAGTAAGTAGTTTATCAAATGGCACTCAAAAATTTTTTTAAAAAAATACACAGCTTAAGACCGTTTCCATGGAAACAGTCTGTATGGCAAAATCCTGACCAAGAAAGAACCAACCAGAACGCTCTGATTTTTACCCCAAGACTACCTCGTCATATAAAAAGGTCTTCTATTGAAATATCTATTGGAATGCCGCAAAGCTACGTTGGATGCGAGAGCGTAGCGTTGCGTGACCAAGAGAGAGCCAGAAGTGGACTATACGTTGGAATGATACAAATCTTCAACAAACGATTCTCAATTTACAAGGTCCGGCGAGTTGACGGAGAAGTTTGACTTTGGTTCCGATACTGGAAACAAAGTACTAAAATGTTCCAGCCATATGAAGCAAGACAAATCAGTTGATTTATTCAAATTTTAAGAAATACATTTTGTAGAACATGAGCTCAGGTCTAGACTCAATGGCTTTGCAATAGGTCCAAATATAGAGAATAACGAGTTTGATGCTGAAGGTTAAAAGAAATGCAGGTATGGAGGATTTTTTGGCTTTGAACTTATTTCATTATGTTTTAAGGGGAGGGGGTTGAGATACATTCTCTTGTATTTTCTTTGTCACAAGAAAAGGGAAATTTTGCATCAAAATTGCACCTCATTCTAGGAAATTAACACTTCATGAAGTTGACATGAATTAGAAAAATGTCCATTAATTTAAGTTGTGTTAATTTCTTGGAATATGTCAATTTCTGTACCACCAATTTTCTGGTATGCAGATTTAAGGTGGCTCAAAACAGTTTCCAGCAGTTAGATTTTGATGGGTCGTCATAGCTACTCTTTCTTGATGCTACAATCATGGTATCAAAAAACTGTCCAAGCATTGGTGAACACATTGTTATCATTTTTGTGACACAATGGGTTACCATAGCAACAGTATGACCTGCTAAAAACACCCTTAATTACACCTTTAGGGGCTTATAATTCAAAAATGGCTCAGTGAAAATTTTTTATATTATAAAATTTTAATAAGCATCAGAAGATGCAACTTTTGGCAAAGTTTTAAAAAATATGTACATAGGGTTCAGAGCCACCTTAAAGTTTTGAAAATGTAAGGTGGCTCTGAACCCTGTGTACATAATTTTTTAAAACTATTTAATCTTTATTCTCCAGAACTTAACACAGGAATTTCAAATATTCCATTTCACGTAATTATCTTTAATGGGTAATTATCAAGAGTCTACATGATGACAAAATCCTTGTTGGCTTGATAGCTCAGTTGGTTTAAGTGCTCACCAGCATCGCAGGGCCATGGGGTTTGAATCCCATTCAAGCCTGAAATTTTTTTAAGCTTCATCACAACTACTTAAGTTATGCATGTTACTCTGGTAGTCTTTCTTCTCATGTAATTAATTTCCTTCATCTAACTAATGTCAGCTTCTCATTCATGTTGCCTAATTTCCTTTGTTACGGAAGATTTTACCCCTTCGTTCCTGTTAATTTAAGTCATGTTAATTAAATACATGCTGATTAATGCAAGGGTTAATTTCCTAATAAGGTGTAAAAGCATGGTGTGATGCTTCAGAGAGGGTGGGCGAAAAAAGTTGATTTTTTTTGCATTTTACAATACGTTATGTTGCTTAGTATCTGACCACTTCAGTTTAAATCTGCTTTATCTTCCTTTGCTTGGTCACTGTGGATCTTAAATTTGACCCAGAGACAATAAATTTAATCTGTAAATTATGTGAGGTTAGAAGGGTTTTGTCCCTGGCAGGAACTCCTATATAAAAAGGACAGGGGTGCTTGTTGTACCTTTTAGGGGTTAAAAAAGCAGTTTTGGTACCTCTTAGGGTGTTCAGTCACAAAAGGTTCACAGCGGGAGCTTTCCTGGTACTTTTAAGGGTACAGAGCCGAAGAAAAATTTGACAAGAGATAAAGTGTTGTTTTAGAATTGTTACCTCTTTGGGGTGAAAAAAAATTCAAGCCACTCTGACAAAACAGGATCTTGGTACCTCATAGGGGGTTCTTTTCAAAATTTCTGACAACAAACCCGTCCTTTTTATATGGGAGTTTCCCCCACCTGGGATTTCACCTTTACTCTTGTAGCCATCATATAATTTCATTTTCTGCAAAGCTGTCGCCAAGTTTCTGTACAGTGAGCCCAGTATCCGACCACAATATACACAAATGAGGTATCAATGTAGCTTTCCAAAGCCAACTGATCAGTTTAGCTCCTTTTCAGTGGCAAAGTTGTTTGGCCTTTGATCCAGAAAAAGAAATCAGCTATTAAGAACCCAGCACTGTGATAAAAACTAGAAAAAAAATTCCCTTTGGCTTCCTGTTCTGTGAGTGCAGTCATTTGAAATAAACCCACATAAATTGTTCTTGACAACGAAATCTGTAAAGTTTCTTCCTGCTGCATAGCATGGCGTTAACACAAAGCAACTAGGACTTGAGGATTAATGATACTAGCTCGTGATAAGGCCACTCTCCAATATTTTGTTTTGCCAATATCATTTAACCCTGGTGAAAGTAAAGTGCCTTGTTCAAAATCACAATGCAATGAATTCAAACCAGCGCTTATTACAGTACTAAGATTATGTGGGCTCCAGGTAAACCGGTTTATGAACACAGGCGTATACAGTTACTAAATCTAGTATCTCTGATATTAAAAAGTCCCCAACACTACCCCGGTCATTGAACACGGTGTGCAACAGATCTAAGGTTTGACTCGTGAAATCATGAATCTAATCCATCACCAGCTGTTTCCAATTGTTACTAAACTTGATTCTTTTCAAAATACTAGATAATTAATTATGCCAGCATAAAACTCAGGAAAACTAGAGTGACATAGGGTTTTCTTTCATCAACTACAAATCTCGCAAAAATTTATTTTGACACAAGGGCTGCTAAGTATTGGATACTAATCCCATCAGAGGTGCACACATCACACCTACAGCATACACTCCAACTGATCGTGACACAGGAAAATTCAACAGTTCAATAGTTCACAGGTAAACTAATAAACAACAAAAAAATAACGCACCTGATACCGTTTCAGCTGGAACTGGTTGTACGTCTGCAAAATGACGATTCAAAGATTATTCGTAAGCGCGCGACATCACTCGTGGTTGGATTTTATCGAATAAAACATTCGTTCTATTTCTTCTTATTTCTCGCAAACAAATATTTTTTGAACTCAGATTTTAGCAAAAACCAACCTTTGACAGAATACCAGGAGGTTTAAGCATATCCAAGGCTTCTTTCACAGATTTTTCACTAGGATAACGTGAGACATTCGATTCACTGGCGGCAGCGGCCATGTTGGTGATAATCCTTCGTTGTATACGGGACGTAACCATAGCAATAGGTCTTTTGTCAAGATTTATTAGGATCTATTGTTCCCGGGAATGAAAAGAATAGTACACAACACACGTCAAGTAAGAACCAAGTTGCATATTTTTACTTCGTCTGGAAGTTGTTCATTCACCAAACTAAGTTAAAAATTAATTTAAGGCTCTGATTGTGGCCAAACCCGAAGTACTGTTCCATTGAATAGGTAAATAGAAAAGAATTAACAATACTGAATAAAATTACAAACAGATAGATAAATAAATGCTATAAAAACATAAATAAATAAATAAATAAATAAATAAGTAAATAAGTAAATAAGTAAATAAATAAATAACTAACTAACTAAATAAATAAATAAGAAAAGTTGAATAAACTTAATGGATAACTTTTAAAACAGATGGATAAGTGATAGCAGAAGCCAAGAGATGCAGAAGCACATAGGCTTCTGGTGATAAAGATAAATAATTAAAAAAACAAATAATGAAGAAAAGCGAATGAAAGCAGGAGTAAATGGCAAAATGACTGGTAACGAGAAACTGTAAATGTCGAGAGAAGACTGGATCACAAGGCGCGAAAGATTGGCGCGAAAATTCAGTAAATATCAAATATGGCGGCGTCGGGAGACGAACTGGAGGATGAAGAATACGAAGCTTTAGCCTATCAGCAGGTCTAGATTTCCCCGATTTGATCGTTCTTGTAGTTCTTGGAGTTTTGAGGATGATTCAAATCCATATCTTTATCTTTCAGCGTTTAAAAGCTGCTCTGCATTATACAGTAGGTCGAATTTGTGAAAAGGCAGGTAAGCTACACATGTAACGTTTCGGTCGTCGTCGACTACGTATCTATTTAAGCTTGCTTAAGCTTATATACATTTGTAGCTAGCAATCTCATTCTGATTCAGCAAGCTTCCGTCACTGAACCCCCGATCAGTTATCCGACCCCATCTCACTTTCTGGATCGTATGTTTTTGTTTACCTTTCGACATTCGACGTGAGCTTTTTAGCTTAAATACTTAAAAAGTATTATTAGCTAAGCTTACATCCATGAATTTTTTTTGATCATGTCTACATGATCAAAACTTCATGGATGTAGCTATGGTTCAAATTTCGATCCGAAAAAGCGTGATTGCATCGAATAACTGAAATCTCTGTTTCTTTCATACAGGTGAAGAGTCTGGTTTACGATTTTCCAGGCGATTTATTGCAGCCTTAACAGAGACAACTTTCAAGCAATGTGGTACGTTTGTGTATTGAAATTTTACCGAGATCTTGAGTCTTAAATAAAATATTACTTTAAAGTAACAAAAAAAAATTGTAATGGTCGCCAAATGTTTAAATTATTCACTTAACATATAAATAGAGATAACATCGTAACCCAGGGGGGGGGGNGAATTTCTGGGTGGGGATGTGCCGCTGGGACCCTGGAACCCTTAGCCAATACCAGAGCTAGTTCAGCTGAGTTTTGCTTCCCTATACTAGAGTAACCAGTATTAAAACGACCAATTTCCATCTGAATCCTGATTTTTGACAGTTAATAATATCCAGTAGTGTTTTATGATAGTCATCTTTCAACGCTGTTGAGGCTGAGTTGCAAAAATTTAAACTTGCCGATTTCATTTTTTTTATTTTTCCGAGTGGCAATTCCTGGTTTCCTTAGTTTAGATAAAATCTTCAACCAACTGGTCAGTTTCGTGAAAAATGATACCCTATTCTACACCCAAATGCTCTGATTTATATACCCTATGCTAGAGTAAACTGCTTCAAAACCATTCCCTTCACAGCGGCACATACCCATATAACCCATATATGGCAGTACCCCCCTCCCCCAGCATCATACACTTAAGGTGGCTCAAAACAGTTTCCAGTACTTAGATTTTGATGAGTCGTTATAACCACCCTTTATCACTTCATGCTATAATAACGGAAAAAACTGCCCAATCATTGGTGAATATGTTATCCTTTTCGTGACACAATAGGTTACCATAGCAACAATATGGCCTGCTGGAAACACCCTTAATTACAGCTTTAGGGGCTTATAATTCCAAAGCGGCACAGTGAATTTTTTTACAATACGAAATTTAATAAGCACAATAAGACACAACTTTTGGCAAAGTTTAAAGAAATTCTGTTCATAGGGTTCAGAGCCACCTTAAATTTTCAAAACTTTAAAGGGAGGAAGATTGCGTGATGAGCCCAAAGAGCGTCTGCGTAGGAGGCCATTGTATTAGTAGCTAATACAAGCATTCTGAAGTGGAAACGTCTTCCAAGAAAGATTAGCCTGAAGTGTAAACCCACCATAATGTCACTGTCTCTGAGGAATGGTGGCTTTGCCAAAAATCCTTGTTATGATTGAGAATTGGTTTGCCAGGGGTTAGCACCTTAGACAGGCCATTGGCCATCCTCAGGGATCTTACCAGGGAGATGGTAGGCCAAGTTCAAAACCATCCTTCCTCTATATGTATGGATGACTCCCTCTCTCCCCACCCTTCTTAGTCTCAGAGATCACACTACTCTTCCCACCCTACTTTGTAGAGGAGAACAGCAGATTTGGTCTGGAACCTACACGCTTTGAAAGGTTGTAACCTGTTTGAGGAATACATACCCTGAACAAATAACTGATTGTAATCCATTGCCTCTTTTTTGAAATGTATATTCTACAGCCCATTACACTAAAATGTACATCTTTTTTTAGAATCTTTTGCAACAGATCTTGAGCTATTTGCAAAGTAAGTCAATTTCAGCTGTCATCAGTCTAGAGTACTTTCAGTTGTTTAAAAATAAAATAAATTGACCCATTAAAATGTTAATCTTTGATCCACTTTTTCCCCTTAGACATGCAAAGCGAACTCAAATCAACTGTGATGATGTGCAGCTACTCGCTAGAAAAAGTTCAACTCTGGCAAGTTTACGAATTTATATTATATTTCATTGAGTTAAGAATAATGTCCATTGTTAAAGTTACCGAGCTTTCACTTCATCCTGTTTCATGTTACTATTACAACTCCTTTTAGGCTGCGCACATTGAGGACATGAGCAAAGAAATGGCCAAAGCACATGAAGCTGACAAGGCAAACAGGAAGAACAAAAAGGCAAAGAAGAGTAAACCAGCCCAGAAAAGTGCAGCCCCAATTGAAATTGAAGATGAAAGTTGATTTGACAGTGAACTGTCCTTTTAAAATTCGTGGCATCAAGTTTTTTTGTAAATATCGACTGAATGAAATACTGAGATCATTGTTGAATTTGAGCAATAATATATTAAGGATGGTGCTTATTAAATATCAAAGGTCTTGGCCCAAATAAGGACTACATGTACAGTACTACAACATTATACTTTTTAATTTTTGAACAGCTCGGCCAGGCTGCTTGAGATTTATGAAACTGAAGAATAATTTATATCATGGACACCCCAAGTAGTACTACATGAAGAATATTTTAGTTGTCACTCAATTATGCCAAGGTACATCTACATTATGGGGGTCTTGCAAAGGGAGGCATGCTCCCAAGGTAGAACATATACTTTGTTTACTGACAATTGAACTTTTCACAGAACCATAAGATGGGATTGGTCAAGGTTTTCAGTTCAGTACATGGGATCAAGTGAAGGTTTCGCCCTCCAAATACTTCCTGGTGTTTCCAAAATCTCACACAGTTAAAGTGATGCCTTGTTAAAAGAAACAACAAGTATTAAACATGTTTAAAATTTTATTTTTGACATTTTTTGGTAATATTTTACAACACAGCACTTTGTGCAACGGACAATATTTACATGACAAGCTGACTGCTGTTATACTTATACTTTGCTTGTAAATAGAATGAATGGAGGAAGCAATCTGCGATGAAATGATCAAAACACACGTTACTCTGCACTCAAACACGCAAGGGTAACCAGAAAAAAATAGTTCATGTACAAAAATATGAAACACGAATTTACATACCTTAGACTTTGAAAGATATTGAATAGAGAAAGAATCTTCGTTCTTACACAAAGATATCAAACGCTTTGGGCAAAGACAATTCATGAAGGCAAGAACTATTGAGATTGTCAGACCTGTAGATATCATATAACAAGTAAACCAATACAAAACCATTTAAAAACATCTAATACAAGTTTTTGAACTTTAAAAACAAGGAAATGAAACAAATACCGGAGAGAAATGTTCTAATAACGTATCTATTGTTTTGGAAATCTCATCGAATAACGCTAAATGTACTGGTTTGTGGCAGATTTTAATAGTTCAAAGCACACATAAGAGCCACGCCCCTCTTGATCCAATGCCTCTGTGGCTGACTGCTGGGTAACTCGACTGGAAGAACGAAGTTTGTGGAGTGACCTGTTGTAGACAGGGTACCTGCAAAATTAAAGAAGGAGGAACTGAGTTTAGTAAAAAATAAATAACTAAAAAAGCGCCATTTGGTACGACTTGCACGCTCTTTCATTGGCTTTTGTACTTGAATAGAAACTAGATACCATCACCAATACCGACAACAACAAGAACAAGAGCAAAAACAGCAGCTAGGCAAAGAAGATACAGTGCACTAAACCACAGTTTACCGAACTCGCTTAGATCCGAAATTGCGTTCGTGATATCTGATGTTCGTTATTGGCGTAATTTGGAAGTGACGACCATTCCGTGCCATCATCAAATGTTCTATATTCCTGAGGTCTCTTCCATTTCCAAACGCAAACTTTTCAGTAGGATCAATTCAACTGTCTACTGCTAAGACTAAATAACGATCGTTACGATTGGTCCAGGTAGATATCTCGGCCTTATGTGTAGTTAGATGTCTGCAGGAAGCGCGAACCAGGAGGGAATTTTGAGATTAATTGTTAAATAGTGTAAAGTACATTACATCCGAGTGAATAAAAAAAAAAAACAATCGTCTTTTGGGATCTCGTTAGTCACGAAAAAGAACGTCCAGTTAATGTCTTTAAAAATGGTGGAGGAAACAAAAAGTTTGTTCCTTTCACGTGGTTGTTCATTACATGCCAGTTTGCTATTTATATCTACGTTATTTTAGCATACCAGCTCTGGTCAACGTTTTGTAGACTGGACAATCATAGATGCCCTTGTCGGGTTTCTCTCGGTTCGCTGTCGGTTTCAACCAGATAATCGGCATGTCCGTGTACAGCTCTTTCGGTCGGGACTCGGTCAGTTCGTGCTTGTCGTAATCCCATCGGGCACCTTCGAGGAAAAGACCCCGGATGAAACAGCCGTTGCT